CAGGGCAATAGTCCAATCTACTTGCTTTAAATATACTGCATTTTCCAGTCCTTAGGTAAGCAGTTGGGTGTAATGCTGAGCCAGAGGGATTCCTTTAAGTCATAAAAGAAAAACGTTGAGAAAGAAAACAATTCATCTACCATAACAAATTCTTACAGCCCATTTACTTTGTTGCTTATTTGTTGTATTTATGGCTGATCGTTTACTATATAATGCTGTTTTCAGATGTTTGCAAAATCCCAGATGTGTTTAATAAAAGATAACTCTAATATTCTTTTGGACAGTAATGTATACAGCGTATTTTCTGTCTATACATGCGATATGATCAGGACATTTCAGGCAACCATAGGCAGGAAAAATCCAATTTTATCAGTCCCCACAAATGCCACTAAAATACTTGTTACACTGTGTTTTTAATTATCAAAAATGGCACCAAAGTAAGGGCAGCAATTCTGCATTTGGACACCCAAACTGGAATTTGGAGTTCAAAGTTTCAAAAGTTAAGTTTTGCAGCCATCTTGATAATTTGAGCATATTCTACCTAATGAATTCCTTGTCACTGTAGGGTTGCAAGGCATTGACAGTGCCTGCATCTCTTCTCCTCTCTTCCTATGGCATATTGTAGGAGTCTTAAACACACACTGATCTTTAATCAAGCAAATAATTTCAATGACAGTCAATGGGACAAGTAATGTGCTTAAAGGTGAGAAAGAGCTTAAGTGCTTTACTTAACTGTGACCTTAGATGTTAATTAAGTTACAGCTGTAATTATTTCCTTACATGGTTATAGTAGGAAGTTAAAAAATCATAGAGAAGCAGAGAGAAAAAACACTTCAAGAGATCATCTACTTTAACTCCTTACACTCAGTCAGAATCAACTATACCGTGACCATCCCTAACTGACATTTGTCTAACTTGTATTTAAAAACCTCAAATAAAGGAGCTACAACATCTTAGTCCTTCTCACTGTACATTTCTATTTAAAATGCTGAATAAAATCAGAAGGTCCCTCTCAATGAAACAAATTCTCAATTTATTGTAAATAATTAACTCAAAGGGCATTTATATACATGCTTGGGGGGGGCGGTACTTTAATTACAGTGGCTCCAAGAGCTCGAATTAAATTGCCTAGAGGGTCTCATGTATCGGCAGTCCCATGCTTAAAAATGGCAGTGGGGCACTTTAACTAAAGCTCACTGAATGAGCTTTAGTTAAAGCAGCCCCGCCACCATTTTTAAGTATGGGGACGCTGATACATGACACACTGGAGTCTGCTGGAATGAAGTAATTACCACACTCCAGCAGACTTAATTAAGTCTACTCTGATGCACTGTAATTACAGCGCATCAGAGCAGTCTCACTGCTCATGTATAGGCGTCCAAAGACTACAAATTGTTAGAAAGCCAAAATCCCCCAAATCAGCTGACTTAAAATTAGGCATTTCTAACACCTAAAAGTCAGAACAACTAATTTAGTCACCATGTATGTAGTCTCAAATGTATTTAGAATTTTTTTAGAAATGTGATATTTTGACAGATGAGGAACCTGAAATACTGCGTGAACTGAAAATGGTCTTGTGATACGAATTCCACTCAACTTCTACAACCTGTAAGGTCTGACAATTTTATCAACCTGAGAGGTTCCATACAAGGCAAAAATATAATTTAGCTACAGATGCTAAAAGTTATATTAAATAAACATAGTAAATCTTAAAACTGATTAATGTTCTCTATTCCCCCTATAGCAGTACTACATAACACTGACTACACCTCACTGAGGTAAAGTATCACTGCTTGTTGTGAAAAGTTTAGAAAAGTTTACAATATACTTTTTAAAATGCAAACAAAAACATAAAAACATTCAATTGGAGTTTATCCAATTAATTTTAGTTTCCAATTTATATAGATTTTACAATTCATACTTAGGAAAATGAGAATTAAAATGTGTATAAAGATGCAATGTGCTGACACCCAGCACAGTTTTACAGCTATTTGGATATAAAAGTAATTTTAAAAATAATAGACTTAAAATAGTTTTAAAGAAAACCTAAAAACTAATAGTTTTGCTAAATTACCCTTTTATTACATGGTTTCAATTACCTTTTTTTTCCTTCTCAAAGATGCAACTTATTCTTTCTTTTCTATGAAGGGAATTATGAGATGATAGAAATACAGAGAAAACTCCAACCAAATGCTGAACTCAACCTTGATTTAAACCATACGTCCACAATTTCTAGATCTGTTCCAGCAAATGCTGTGAAAGTTAACAGTTCTAACAAGCCTACATGAGTTATGAGAAATGTTCCTTGTATTTGGTAATACACATTCTACTAAACTTATTAGTTAATATAGCCAATATACACAAAGCTAAAACTAGCTATTTTTAGCTAGTTTTACAAATAATAAATGGATTCAGCATAAATGTAGTTTTGGTTTCTTTGAAGTGATTAGAAAGTTGCTCTGGTATTACTTAAGGTATTATACTGTAGCATGAGGAAAATGTTACATTACAGGTACAGTGAAGATTTACTCCACATGTTAACAGGCTATATCTGGGATATAAAGATTGGATTATCCTTTAGTTTCCTTCTTATGCTTTGAATCTTTCAGCTCAAAAGAAAAATGACTCTAAAATGATATAGTTCTATGAACTGACAACACTTTTTATGTTATCTAGCCAAGGTTTTGTGATACTATCCCTAATAATGTTTTCAACTCTGATTTAAGAATTGAAAAAAAAACCCACAAAACTGGTACAGGTAAGGGAAGAAATAAAGAAGCATCCATAAAGAGGAAAAATGTGTTGCAGCATCCAGTACTAATAGAACCACTGTTCCTAGGTAAATGCCATGACTGCAGTGTAGTGTAAATATACTCTAGTGCATTTTAGGACAGCTAGTTCCGGTACCTGCAAACAGTCCAGCTGCCTCTGAAACAGAATAAATAGCTGGATGGAAGTTCATGGTGGCCTTTGTGATGTAATAGCTACACAGCTACAAGTATCCAGGCTAGCAAGCTTGGATATGTAGACACTATTGTTACAGGAATGCAGACATCCTGGATAGGGCAGGTATGTGCTCAGGATTTTAGTTTTAAGAACCAATGTTTCCTCACAATTAACAACTTCATGGAATAAAGAGTTAACTGCATGTCATTTTGGGGATGAAATTTGCATGCATTTTACTGTATCTGCCTAAACATTTTGAAGTATAAGCACACTTTGACAATTTAAAATTGTTTTTTATAAAATAAAAATAAAGACGTTTTCTAATTTAAATACAATTCAATTTCAATTAAGTTAAAGAAAATAAAAAAACATTTCAAGAGATTTGTCCATGTTTCACCTAAATAATCTATGACATAATTCTCTTGATTAAGTTAACCTCTTTGTTCACAAACTGAACTGAAGGAGTTGACAATTTCCTCAATTTTCTTTCATTTTGTATAGTATTCATTTATAAAATTCATCCTTTTGGGCCCAACTATATTAGTACTTATGCGAAATCATTCTGTTTGGTGTCTCCAGAAACCATATTATACATTCAGAACTGCTCAATTAAATGACAGAACTTTAGAACTCAGTATAAAAGCTAATTCTATTTCTTTAATCTCTATTAAGCAAAAAACAACAAGCATTTTAACAAGTGTACAGATTGTGACATTGATAAATATTCAGTAAAACTATAGCTGTGATTGGAATAATCACAAAGTGGAGGGCTCAATCTTATAAACAACTTACCAGCTTGCCTGATTCCTTGCTGTCTATAATAGAGAACTACATACATCTCTGATTGGTTTTATGTCAAAATTTAATGTGTATGAATGAAAAAGGTATAACATAATTGTAAAAAATATTTTGTTTTCATTGGAGGATGTCACATGCATGACCCAATGGCTTACATTTTGCACATAATACTAAGGAAGTATACTAATAAAAATATAATCACTTTTGAAATGAATTAAATTTGCTTTAGGGCTAACTTTCTAATAGAAATCATACTACACATTACTGCAGTACACCTTCAAGTATGAATGGTGAGACCATCCAAATAATTTTAGTCAATGAAAGTTGGGAATACAAGTGAACTCACTTAATTTGTTCTATTTAGGAACCTGGAGATGTTAGCATGAACACAATTAATGAAATCATATCATTTTTGGAGATTTATTTAATATTCTCTTGATAAACAGAGACACCCAAAGATACATGTGGGTACAAACAGCCATTACATTTAGATCAACCTAACTACAGATATGTTGATACCTATGCAGTCATTCAAAGGATTAAAAGAAGCAAAAACTGGTGGGCCTGATTTAAATTAGTTTATCTCATCAAGTGAACTAACTTAGTTTGGGAACTGGGTAACCTGATGTATCAAATGCCTGTATATGTACAGAGCACAGCCTGGGCTGGGAAAGCCCAGTCACTTACCCCAAGCCCTGGGGCTGTGCTCTTCCTACCCACTTCAACCCTGGCTGAACTATTTTTAGCTCACCAACTCTCCCACCTCAAGATGGACAACACCCCCAAAAGACCTACCAGCCCCATCTAATCCTAGCAACCCGCCACCCCCGATCTGCTAGCACCCGCCAATTCTGACCCTCCGCCCCCCTCACCCCCACCCGAGCACCACACAGATTTACTTACACTGGGTTCCTCATGTGGTTTCCAACATACCAGTGAACACCTATAGAAGCTGCTCCTGGTCTACAGTCATGTGGTTTAATGCAAGCTGCATGGCTGTAGACCAGGTGTAGTGAACAGCTGTACTCACCTTGTGTATATACAGACCCACAAAAACTGCTAGATTGAAAGAGAGATGGGCAGACAGACAAATAGCATGTGTATTCCTATTCATTTGGTTCTCAGTCTGAAAACTGCCAGTTTCTTAAAGTTAAATCAGCAAGTTCTACACACTGCACAAAACAACAGGCAAACAGTTTAAAACTAAAGCCAAATATAATCAGTCATTCACATGAAATATAAATAGTAGTAAACACCTTGGATTTGAAGAGTCTTGAGCTTTGCAAACTTTATCTGGGTTTCATCAGGAAAAAACAAAGTTCTTAAATCTGGAAAAAAAACACACTGTTAAAAGCACTTATATGTTAATAAAACTGAATTTCATCTACTAAAATACAACTTTTAATTGTACACGTACAAACTGAGTGGGGAAAGTGACAATCAACATTTTAAAATCTCTGGAGATGCTAATGAATGACATAGATGTGTTTTCATTTGATCACCTGTACAAGAGATATTGTGTGAATATGATGTGGTTCCCACAGGTGTTTTACACTGAGTCCTGTCCCAAGATGGAAGCCTCCAAAGACAAGATCATTACTCAAAAATGCACATTCTCCAAAGACAGATTGCAGAGGTGCAATGTCATATGACTGTTTACCTCCTCAAAGTGACATCTGGGCATCTGTACCACTAAACAAGACTCACCGTGACTGATAATCACAACATGGAACCAATACACTAACAAACTTAGCTTGGTACCAGCAGTGTTGCGTCTGAGTCAGGTATGCTGTAAAAATTCAGTGATGCCTTTAAATTCTAATGGTTTCAAGCTGCTGTAAACTTCTGCAGCAATCAAAAATAATCTGTCATGGGACTGAGGGGTATGAACATCATGTCATAGCCACTCTGCTGTTAGATTTATTGGAGGGTAAAGCATGTCATTTATGCATCAACTCACAGGAGAAAAAAGCAATCCCTATGAAGTTAATCTAATAATAGACTGGAAAGCAATGATTACTGTTTCATGTGCACTAGCTATTTGTAGCAGTGGTTGGCCTAATTCAGCAGGCCTTGCTTGTCAGAGCCCTGGGATTAACAAGTGTTTATATGATAACCTGTTGGGAAACATCAAGAAATGGTTTAATGGAGAACAAAAGTCCTATTTTTAATACTGTGCATCTGCCGAAACCTCCTCTTTCTCTAACCACTGTTAGAAAGCTTACTGGAACAGACTTATTCTGAATATAAAACAAATGCAGAGAAATGATAGTTTTAATGAATTGATACTATGATGAAAATCTATGATGAATATATAATTCAAGCAAAACTTCCAGGAAAGTGAGTCAGGGATTTACTTGAGAAATGACTGCAGGATAAAGCCCACTGTAACATAACATTGTATGCCAATCCTTCTATTTATAAAAACAGCTTACAAAAATGGTCAATTGACTATCTAACTCTCAGAATAAACCAGTATTATTAACCCAATGTTATAGAGGGTGAAGGAAAGAATGAAAAATGTTTTAATTAAGTAAAATGTCACAAACAAAACAGTGACACAGCCAGGAGAGGAATGCAAAACTTTGTTCCCAAACTCACACTCACTTCATGAAAAATGCAGCTTTCCCCAACATGGTATTCTTAAATAGTTACCAATTCTGAAAACAAATGGTACAAAACTTTCCAATACTTGAATTGTGTCTATGCCCTAATGACAAACAGCCTGAAAATGTTTGGCTTCCATTTCACTACATCCATTTTTCAAAAAAATCAAGACTAAGTGGGAGCAGAGAGTGGTATTTTCTCTTGCATATGGGCATGTTATTCAGTGTGAATGATTTGTATGGAAACTACAGAAAAATAAGACTTTTTTGTCCCCCCTTATCACGTAACTCATTTTCTTAGATGCATTAAAATGCTCAGCATGAATTGAAACCAACCTGCCAAAATGTGTGTGCATGCATGTGTGTGTGTATTTGATGGCTAGTTGATGGCAGAAAATTTAACTACACCAGATGCCCTCTTTTCCATAGCCATATTGTTACATTCATTTTCTCTACAATAAAAGTATATAAAAGACAAGGAGTAGATGAAAACAGCAGTCCAGGGGGACTAAAATTTATAGTAAAAATAGGCAGTGATACTCAAAGCAACATTAATATTTGCTAGTTTATTTACTTCAGACTGACCACAAAGCACTGGCAATCATGGCAGCAAGTTAGTATGCTGCTAGTACTGCCACCTTGTTCATCCAGATCAATAGGAGCATGATGAAACATTCCCTCTCTGGATCCAGTCAGGCAGTGAAAGGGTTGGGACTAATGATTTGTGTGGATCTCCAACCTATGAATGTAAATCAGGAAGCACTCTCTTCTCTTCTAGCCAGGCACTCCCCTCTCACTTGATCCTATATAAAAGAGAAGCAGTAGCTTCTTTTGTCCTTTTTCAGCTAAGCTAACTAATCTTCTCTTTTACCTTCTCATGTGCCATACAATTTCCAGCCCACTTCCTTGTAAGGAAGAGGGTTCAAGCCTTCGAGCCAAAGTGGTTGAAATGTGACCAATTCTATGTTAGCATCACTAGATCTTGTCATCCAAATATTGTACCTACCAAAAGTCAATAGTCTAGAAACAGGAATCCTGAATTAATCCCCTGATAATTATAACAATGAAGGGAAATTTGGAGGAGTTCTCTTCCCCCTCCCCTCTAAAATCAGGGGGGTTAAAATATTCATGGAAAATATTTATTAAAATGTGTGTTAGAAATCTAAGACATTTATTCGGCTAACGTATGGCTTATATGGACAATTTAAACAGAGTTATTTTTATTAGCACAAAGGAATGCAGGAGAGTCATATTACTACATAATATAGCTATTAGCTAATAAATATTTTGGATTCATATCAATGATTCGAGGTAACTCAAAACAATTGTGCAAATATACAGCTATTTATCAGTGGTAATATCTGGGACTGCAAAAAGCCAGTACTGTTCAGCAATATCAATATACAGTATCAGCTGGCTATGCTCTAAGAATCTAACAACAAAATTCCCCAAGTCTGTTAAAATTAAGATTAAGCAACAATGCATGTTAGAGTATAGAGAAAGCTGAATTTTTAATATTGGATTTCGCTTGGAAGCCCAGGGGAAAACAGTTGGACTCCTTGTTGACAGCACAGTCCTATGAAAAACAAGTCATAAGACTGATACATTTAAGTTATATTAGTTTCAATAACTGACAAAAAGACATTTGGGGCCTTGTTCAGCAACCAAAAAGAGTTGCACATTAGAGGCGTTTTCTGTTTTTGTTTTAATTGGAGTAAAAGGAGCATCAGGTGTAGTTGGACTCGTTTGTACACATATTGCAATATGGAAAAAGTTGCAGTAAAAAAATCAAATGTAAGTGTAAACAATCCTATTCTTTTTCCCCTTGTGCATACCCCAGAAAGGATGTATGTTGCTTAACAGGTCTATGCGAGGAAGAATGCATCATTCCCTCAAGATTCATTGCATTTACAATCAGAATTCATGGTAGCCTAGAAAAGCCACTAAGATTGCAAAGAGGGAAAATGTTGATTTAACCAGATAAAATTATTACAATGACTCCACACCCAAGCCTTCTTGTCTTGACACATGAAAAACTAAATTTTGAGATGTCAAACAAGATATGAGCAAAAGTGTCATCTTGCAAGGAGTTGCCTAGCAAAAATGCACGTGTGACATGTGACTGATAACGCCAGGTATTGCAACTCACCCATTTCTTTAAGTGCCCTCTAATCTTATTAAACTGAAAGTAAAGGCAGAATAAATGCTTTAGCAAAAAAACATGCAGCAGCTCAGTTGCCATATACCAGACTAAACAATATGGCATTACAATAAAATATAGATAGTAAATCAAAAAAAGAATGGTATTATAGTATTTTGTAAACTATTAGATGCATCCCTTAGGATCTAAAATAGAACAGAGCTTACTGTTGGAATAACACTACTCCCCCCTCTACACATTACAGGTATTCTGCAATTAACTGGTTGAGTCTACAATTACCTTGAAACCACTTTGAAAATGTGTACCTCTAAAGTACCCATCATGCCATAAAAAGCTCCAACCAGCTACCAAGATAGATCTCAAAACTATGTACTAACTTTATAGCTGGTTGCTATGCAGCTTTAATTTGCATGGGTAACAGGGTGTCCCCTGTGGCTAAGTCATGTCATCTGACAGGCCTCCCAACCACACAGGGGCATCATACCCAGCCAGGGCCGGTAGTCCTGCAGCTGAGGGACTCTCAGCCTCAGTAGCTGCTGACTCTGAGTTTCAGCAGCACCCCATAGCTGCCAGGATCCAGAATATGTGGTCTCTGGGTCCTGGCACTGTGCGTCCTGGTTTCACACACCCTGAGGCTGGAGGATGGCATTCACTGTAGTCTCCCAGCCCTCAGGAATGCATGAAACCCCAGGGCTGGGAGATCACAGCTGCTGTGGTCTTCCAGCCTCAGGAGTGCATGACACCCTTGGGATTGGAAGACCACAGCAGCTGTAATCTTCCAGCCCCAGAGGTTTCATTTATCCCCTGGGGCTGGGAGATCACAGCAGCTGTATCTCCCAGCCACAGGGGTGCATGGGGCTCACAGAGCTGGGAGCCCCTCACCACTAAGGGGGAGGAGGTCCTAGATGCAGGATCTTGCTTTTTGCTGGTACAGGGAGAGCTTGGGATCGGGCCGCCTCTGCACCAACAATAAGGCAAGATGGGATCTAATGTCCAATCCCACAATCATCCTTCTGCTAGCATGTGTAGCATGGCAGGAGATGCGATTGCATGGATCATGCATTAGATCCCATGGCACCTTTACTTGCATGTGTAGACGGGCCCTAAGAGTAATAGTCAGAAGTGCAAGATAAAATATATCTTGATAGCTCCATGACTATTATTAACATTACAACTATGGCATAAATATGCTATATGCAATTGCTCCTTTATTAATATTACTGGCGAGTTTTTGGTAGTCATAGCAGAAATGAGACTTGAGGAGAGATATGAATGTAGAAAGAGCATGCCTCTTGAAGCCCAGCTCTATATGTATACAAAGGTGCTTGAAATACAAGCACAGATGTAGCAGACAAACAGGATGTCATGGTGGGCATCACTAGCAGGGCAGGAAAGACGAGAGGTGAGAAAAAAAGTAAGGGCAAATGAATAAGAGGAATAATAGAATAATACAGAGCCTTGAAGAGAAGAAGCAGCTTGAGTAGGATGCAATGGCAAATGGAAGCCAAATAAAATGAGTTAGAAAGGTGATAGCATGATTATATCAATGGGCAAACAAACT